CATAATGTCAATATTAAAATTTCTTAAAAAAATTTTCTTAAAAAATATAAATATATAATAAATATATATATATTTAATATAAATATTTATATATTAAATATAAATACTTAATAAATATATTTATTAAAAAAATATAAATATATAATAATAAACGTTACATCTTTTATAACTTAAATATTTGAATATTAAATATGAAAGAAATTTTTATATTATACATGTATACATATAGTATACATATTTAAAAATACATTAATTTAATGTAGAAATGGACTAGTGATTTATTTACAATTAGAAATATTTTATAGTTATAGCAATAATTTAATATTAATTAGCAAATATAACAATAAATCTGAATGGCTATATCCTAAGAGAGTCAGTACTTCTAGTTTGAAAATACAATGATTCAAATAAATCTATTCAGATATATTTTTAAGAACAAAAAATGAATTTTATAAAAGATGGTCTCGTATAAAATCAGCAAGCACGATACCATCTTCACAAAAACGCAAATGAATAGTATATCAATTAGTATATCATAATATATAAATGTATAATAAACATTTATTTATAATTCTTGTTTATTATTAAACTATAAATTTTATTCTATACTTATATATATTGTTTAAATTCAATGAACTTCTGAACTTTCTATAAAAATGTTCGAATATTAAATCTACAAAATACAATGAAATTTATTTAAAAAATAATATTAATTTTTTAAATTCATTACTTTTGTATCATTATCTTCAAATATTTTTTTAAAAATATGTTATTATTATATAATAAAAACAAATTTATAAGAATGTTGATTTCATTGATAAGATTCATTACAAAGTTTTTGAATATTTGGGTGTGCCTAACTCGAAACGTGACGTTACTACGAGCGATTGTGTCACGTTTACTATGCGGCGGTGATGTCATTTTCAACCGCATGTATAACCTCGACTGAAAACATTGACCTCCTTTCGAGCGAGCATTGAGCAATCGATAAAAATACAGATAAAATCAGAAAAAAGCGGGAAATATTATTTCGATTAATAAATAAAGTAAGGAATGGAAGGTAATATTAATATATATATATATATATATATATATATATTTCATTTTCGTGTTTTTTTATATTTACATGTATATGTATTTTAAAAAAGGTGGATATATTCGTGTATCACATCCATGTTATATTTGTCTATATGTCGTTGGGAGATTATGTATAATTTTGATGTCCAAATTTTTTTAATTTTTTATTTTATAATTTTATATCAAAAGTTATAATCAGTTTAAAATACAAAATTTAAAACAAAATTTATTCTAAATTTTTATTTTTGTCTTTTTTGCTTTATTACACTTTTCTCATAATAATTTAAAAGTGAAAAAGATTTTATAAAATTTACTTTAAAATTTAATTTAGATTTTATAAAATTTTATATAATTATCAATATGATAAGATTGTATATAAAATATAGTTATGCCAATATTGATTATTAAATTATTATAGAAAATATATGCATTTGTAAAAAAAAAAATAAAATCCTAAACGCATATGTTTATATGAAAATATAAATTCAATATTTTTTTCGAAATAATTTTATTTATATATATTATAAATCCGTACATTTTATTTTATTTTCTATATTTATTGTAGTTATGTTTAGTTATTTATATTTGTTATAGTTATTTATTATATATATATATACGTACATTAATTAATATACATATTAATTAAAAAAAGATAAATAAAAATTAATTCAAATATTTATTTAAAAATTAATAAATATATGTAATTTTAGAATATTGAAAGTGATTGTATAGAATATATAAATTAATAAAATTGATATATAAGTTGCATAAGTTGTTGATAT